TTAATTGTAAGTCTTCTCTTTATTTTTAATTCATGTGAATGATTGAATTGAGAGAGATGATGAATTGTGTTGAATTCATGTTGCTTAGCTAATTCATATTGCTAGGGATAAGGGATGAATATTCTTGTTTGAATTGTATCTCTCGGGCTTGAATCGTTCATACTTGTGTGAGTTGATTTAATTCAGAATTGATGAAATTGTGCTTGATAGTTCAATATAATCGAAGGGTGACACTTCGATCTTGTGATTGGTAACGATTAGATATTGAATTGTTGAGTTTGATTATGTTGATTCTATATGACTAGTTGATTAAATACCTTCTAGCTAAATTAGCGACTTTTTGAACTGAAAGGGGAGAAGTCGTAGACCTAGGCTTACATGAGATAGATAATTTCGTGACTGAATCATCTATGGGTTTGGATTGAAATACATGCTTGTCGGTGCCTTATCCCTTATTACGAAAAGTTATTGGGAGCGAACCTCTATATGTATAAGCAAGAGTGTCAATTTTGAACTGAACAATTGAATGCCCGACTTTGCTAAAACTTGAATTAATTATCCCCGATTCTCTAGTTTCTCCATCTTCGTTTCATCCATACTCTTAGGTAGATTTACATTTTTGCATTGTTATTTATTTCTTAGTTGTTAATTATTCATCCCCCTTATCTGATTAGAGTGTTTAGGATTTTATTTTCTTTTGTGTGTGATCGATACCATTTCTAAATTCCAAACAGCCTTCCTCGTGAGATCGACCCGGGGAACGAATCTTTTGATTCGGTACTCGGTAGAAAGATTAATTTGTACACAACAGTACTGACTTAGACATTGGAGGCCCGACGCCGAGACCACTCCCGACGTTAGGTTATGCAGGTACGGAGGTCGGTCTAGTTGAATGAGCCCGTGAAGTCTATTTCACTATTAATATATATAAAGGTATAATATTTACTTGTAATATTAACTAAAGTCCCGCCAAAATATTTCATTTTTACCTTTAGTAGTAATTTTTTTAAAATTTTTAAAAGTCTAGTCATCTTTTGAAATTCAAATTAAAGAATCAATGTAATTTATATACAAAATCATTCTGCTTAAATATAACACTATTACCGTTATTAATTGTATAGTTTAAATATAGTATATAATATATTGACAAAAACAAAAAAAAAAACAAAAAGATAGTTATCTAAAATTAAAATCTTTTTTTTTTCTTTTCCAAAACGATAGGTTTTATAGCTCAAGAATTTGTACAAAAAGGGGGGGCTAAATAGCCCAAAATACATCCACAAGAACGAAAGAGGCACTGCAAGGCCTAGAAATCAAAACTACTAAGCAGATAAGTCCATAATCCCCAGCTAATACAAGGCTTAGAACCTGGGGTTATGTTCCTATCTCGCTCAAAACACAAAAGACTTAGATCACTGGCCGAGCCCTAATCTAAGACAACTACAATAATCCCAGACAAAATACAAAGCAACAGAACCCAAGAGAAAAAAGCAAGCTAAGAAACAAAGCCAGCAAAAACAACCAAGAAGACAAGACAAGCCAAAAAAGAAGGCAGAAGCCAGCAAAAACTAGAACTATTACTTCACCATGCTAAATTCCAACCACTCCTCCATTGCAATACTGACCACTGATCTCTCTGGTCTCCATAGGCTTTGGAACACCCACTGATTCCTAGCTTTCCACATCCACCAGAGTAGGTATGTGGTTAGCTAAATCCTGTCTTCATTAATAGCAGAGCAGGGGATGGTACACATTGATGACCACCAGTGACTGAAATTATCAGAGTTTTGCTTCATTCCTTCCCAACTGATTGATGCCAGACTCCATATTTTGGCAGCTCTAGGACAGGTAAAAAAGAGGTGAGTGATTGATTCAGCTTCTTCCCCACAGTCCTTGCATCTTTCCTCTATATGAATGCCCCTCTTAACCAGATTGACATTAACTGGCAAAATATTGTTTAGGCACTTCCAGATGAAGTGCTTAATTTTTCCTTTAATTTTCAAGCCCCATAGCCTTTTCCTCATACCCCTGATCTCATTATGCCCTTACTTGGCTCAGCAATATCCAAGTTCTTACATTTTTCCCTCACCAGATAGTCATAAGAAGCAGCCACTGAGTGTTTACCCTTTTTACCACAGTGCCAGATCAGTTTGTCCTCCTCCCCTGGGTTTAAACTTTTCACTTTCAGGATGGCAGCTTGTTCTTCTTCTGAAAAGAGATCTTGTAGAACATGTCTCTTCCAATTTCTCCCTGTCACATCAATCAATTCACTTACCAAGCTGATGCTGGAGTTAGCAGGAGGTCTGCTCTTAGGTTTAAAGCCAGGTAGGCCAGGAATCCATGGATGGTCATAGATCTTGATTCTGCTTCCACTTATAACTTCATATCTCAGTCCCAGATGGAAGGTGTCTCTCACTTTGAGCCAGCTGTGCCACATCCATGATCCTGTTTGTTTGTGACTAACTGTGAAGAAGTTGTCTCTGGGGAAGTATTTGGCCTTCAAACATTTGCTGACAAGGAGGTTAGGCTGAGTAAGGATCCTCCATAATTGCTTGGTAATCAGAGCTTTGTTCATTAATTGGATATCATGGAAACCAATTCCTCCATTTTCTTTAGGCAGGGTCAAAAGATTCCAGGCCTTCCAATGTATTTTCTTGCCTTCAGAGTGACCTGAGTTCCACCAAAAAGCAGCAAATTGTCTAGCAATATTTGTACAGACAGCTTTAGGGATGAGAAAGCAGGACATAGAGTACACTGGCAAAGCATTAAGAACTGCCTTAAGGAGAACTTCTCTACCAGCTGTTGAGAGAAATTTGTTCTTCCAATTTTTAATTCTCTTATCTACAACATCTGATATGAAAGAGAAGGTTTCAATTTTACTACCCCCAATGCCAAGAGGCAACCCTAAATATCTAGAGGAATTTTGGGGAGAGATTCCCAAGAGGCAGTTACAAATAGAGACTTTCAGGGGGGTTGAGGCATTTTTGCTGAAGAAGATAGAGGATTTAGAAAGGTTCACTTTTTGCCCAGTTATTTTTTTATAATCAGCCAAAATATCAAGGATAGAGTTGGCTTGAGAAAGATCAGCTTTGGCAAGTAACAAGGTGTCATCAGCAAAGAATAAGTGGGATATCTTGGGACCATTCTTGGAAAGTTGAATACCAGAGAGATTTCCTTTGAGGGTTTCCCTTTTGATCAGGTGAGAAAAGATTTCAGAAACCAGAATGAAGACATAAGGGGACAGAGGGTCCCCTTGTCTTATACCCCTCGAGGGAGTGACATACCCACAAACTTCCCCATTAACATTGAAGGAAAAGGAGGCAGAAGAAATACAAGAAACAACCCAGTTAACAAACATAGGGCAAAAGCCCAATTTCAACATGATAAGGCTGACACTACTCCACTCAATTCTATCAAAAGCTTTTTCCATGTCCAATTTCAGAGCCATATAAGAATTAGGACCATTTCTGTGTCTATTTAGAAAGTGAATAATCTCATGGCCAAGAATCACATTGTCCAGAATTTGTCTGTTAGCCACAAAAGCTGCTTGATTGACACTAATGCAGAGAGGGAGACAAGGTTTGAGCCTTTGAGCAATTAATTTGGAAATGACTTTATAGACCACATTACACAAACTGATAGGTCTGAAGTGGGAGATTTGCTCAGGGTTAAGAATTTTAGGGATTAAGGTGATGAGAGTATGATTAATGCTTTTAAGAACTTTACCAGAAGCAAAGAAACTTTTAACAACAATACAAAGCTCAGGGCCAATAAGATACCAGAATTTTTGGAAAAATAGAGAAGTCATACCATCTATACCTGGGGATTTTCTAGGATTGATGCTGAAAAGGGCAGCTCTTATTTCATTATCCTCCACAGGTGCAATGAGCTCTGAGTTCATTTCTTGAGTGATGACTGGTTCCATGTCCCTCAGAAGTCTGTCACCATCCTGAGAGCCCTCTGAAGTGAATAATTTATCATAAAATTGCTCAATACAACCCTCCAACTGCTCTTTGTTCTCATAAATTTCCCCATTTTCTCCAGTGAGTTTAGAAATTTTGTTCCTCTTCCTTCTCTGCATAGTCTTAGCATGAAAGTATTTTGAATTTTTATCCCCATGCTTAAGCCAGGAGATTCTGGCTTTTTGCTCCCAATGCTGTTCCTCTTGCTTATATGCATCATCCAGATCTTTTTTCACCTTATCCCATTTCAC